CTAAGTATATCTTGCTTTAAGTGTATATTGAATTAAACCTGTTACTTTCAGAGCTGTCCTTCTTGTTTGCATTTCCCTTAGAACTTTTCTGTTTTCTTCAGTGTATTTTCTTTTAAATGTGTAAATAATGTTTTTTTTCCTTTTTATCTTTAGTTCTTTGGAGAACTAAATATACTGCAACTATATAAATATAGCAACATCTTGAAAATATTAATATTCAAAAGATGGAACTTGGCTTTCATGGAAAACTTGGGAGGGAGAGAAGGAACAGGTATTTGTTAAGCACCTATGTAATGTGCCAAGCACTACACTAAGTGATTTACAAATATTATCTAGGTTGTTACTCACAACAACCCTGTGAAGTAGGTGCTATTATTATCCTCATTTTACAGCTGAGGAAACTGAGAAAGAGTCAGGTTAAGTGACTTGCCCAGGGTCACATAGCCAGTAAGTATCTGAGGCCAGATTTGAACTTGGGTCTTCATGGCTCCAGGCCCATCACTCTAAAGCTGCCTAAACTTGAGTCATTAAAAGAACTTTGTACTTTTCTGAAGCAAAGCAGTTCACTATCCTCTTCCTCAACTCTGGGCCCAGCTTACTATTCAACCTACTGTTGAACTAGCTTTATGGGATAATCTTCCAAATACATGTTGAAATCTAGGCAATAAACATTCTTCATCCACTTGGTCTTTCCTGTGTGGATGGATATTCAGACTCCTTTGAGTAACTGAAAATTCTTTTGAGAAGACTGCGATGTCCTGGAGCTTGACTGGAGGACGTAATCTTCCACAGGGAATCCCTCCCCCACTTGATTCCTGCCCTGGATCTCCTCTACCAGAATGAGAAATACCTCTGTTTGGCACATCCATCACCATTTTATGTCTTTTCGGATGTTTATTATCAGAGGGTTATCAAAGAGGGTTATTTCTGTTAAGAATTCTGAGTGATCTTGATATAAGGACAGGTATCCTCTTGCTATTGGTAAAAGCTAGTAAGTAGGACTCCATTCTGTTGAATGAAATGTTTGCCTTTTTCCCTTCCTTCCTCCTTTCCTTTCTCTTCCTTGTTTACTTCCTTTCTCTCTTCTTTCTTTACCTCTGTCCTTGTTTTTCTTCCTTCCTTCCTTTTTTTTTTATCTCTTCCTTCCTTTCTTATGTTCTTGAAACTGAACCTCCTTATCTCCCTCAGGCTAGAAGTACAGAGGACATTTACCAGCCTGACCCCACTGCTGACAGTCATAGAAGCTTTGACCTTCTCTGTTTCTAGTCCTCAATGGTTCACCCTTCTTAGGCAGGCTAGTGGCCCCTGCTCCACATATTTCTTCCCGTGTTCACTTTTTCCCCCTTTTGCATCAAAGTCACCAAGTATCACAGTCTGTTCCTTGGATTTGGAGGGTTTTAACAAGTTCTTTGTAGATTTCTCTACCATTTCCTTCTTAGCAACCAAAGTTCATATATAAGTTACAGCTATTTTAATGATATTCTTTTTACAAATGCTTATCATTGTGACTGCAGTACATGTTGACCAAATATCTGATGAAATAGTATTTTTGTGTGTGTGTGTGTGCCTTTCAGCATGTGATAAAGACTGCTCCAACAACAGATCTGATTTTCCAAAGAGTAATTTACTCTAAATTGATATGTTTAAAAAATAATTTCTTCCATTTTTGGTAGAACTTTCCCTGAACTTCCAATCTCTTTGCACTTTATCTTTTCAATTATAATTTATATTTATATTATAATGATATGATATATAATTATATCAGTTATTATGTATATAGATTTGCTCAAAATTGATAACTTAGAGGAAGGAAATGGATATCCATTCTTTCATTTAACTGAAACTTCCTTCTTTCTCTAGGCATCATTTGTAGTAAAAATGTCAAGACTGGTGTGATTCAACTCTTCCAGCAATGTGTCTACTCATGGGTCAATGAACAAGGATCTCACATTTAGAGTACTAATAGTGAAATCAAAGTTCATGGTTGCTCTAAAAAAGTGTGATCCTTAGAACTCTCTGCCCCTTTGCCCACAATTCTGCCACTACCATGCACAAGCAGAAAGGGGCTACACAGGATTGTGAGCCATTTAAAATTTTTCTTTCTTTCATGGGTTACCAATACCAAAAAATTAAAATTAAAAAAAAATCATCAGGTGGCAAGCCTACTGGGGATCTGCTTCTCTGTAATTAGCTACACTGGTTCTCTGAAAACAGACCTGGTCTGTTACTGGGACCATACTTAAAGCCTTTCCAGCATAGTAGAATCTGCCTGAGCTTGTACTCCTCTGGCTTAGCTTTCAAGGACCCAGAGTCACCTCCACATTTATGATGAAGCACCATAGTTAGAGTCTGTGGAGTACAAAAGCCTATAGCACTTAATATTCTTAGGTAGAGAATTCCATCCCAACCAGGCCCAACCTTACTTAGCTTCCAAGATCAGATAAAATCAGGCATGTGTAGAGTCATATGGCTATAACCAAGCAGGTTAAGGTGTTAGGAAAAGTTTCATGTAGGAAGTGGCATTTGAGGGTGGAAAATATTTCAGCTACCTATTTACTGGACACTAAATTCAGTTTGGGGGTTGAAGGGGTCAGAAGCTGGGGGTGAACTGAAACAGAGATAAATTTTCCAGGGGTCTTTACCTTTTTGTGTCATGGACTTCTTTGGCCACTTGGTGAAGTCTCCCTCTTGAAATAATGCTTTTAAATATATAAAATAAAATACAAAGGATAACAAAGGAAACCAATTCTACTGAAATAGAGTTATTAGAAGAAACATAAATTCACACACCCCAGGATAAGAATGCCAGGTTCAGGTCATGATAAAGGTGATTTCTTAGTGACAAAGTAACCAGAGGGTGTCTGACTGGTATATGCAGGAATCACAGAAGGAGGTCTCTTGGGTGGTAACTCTTCCTGGGGGATGCTTTGACTTTCAATCAAATTTATTCTTGCTGTTTTCTCCAAATCCTATCTTCCCTTCACTTACTCGACAGAGAAAAAAAATATTACTTTCCAGATTGACTTAAGTGATATCTTCAATTTTCTTTCCCCATTTATAAAAATAAGAAAACATCAATGCTGAGGAATAATGTTCCCTGCCTTTCAGCTGGGAAGAAAGAGGGTAGAGAATGAGAAAAGAAACAGATTGGTAAAGGGAAACTGGAATTGAAAAACCTGTAGGAACTACCTTGGCAACCCTAGGCCTAAAAGTAAATTTTTTTTTATCTGTCAAAAGATGCACAGAAGTCATGTTTGAACAACATAGGGGAGGAGAGGAAAGAAAATAAACTGACAATCGTATCAGCAAATACTGAAGTGATGTTATTTTTCCTGGCAGCTTTAAGCAACGTAACCAGTTGAACCAGTCAAAAACTGAGCTGCTGCTGCTGCTTCCTCTGCTGGGCAACTTCAGCTGTCGAATAATAGGACATAGAAGCTGCCTGGCAGATACTCCCAAAATCCAGGGAAGCTAAACTCACACACAAGTTGGAGACCCTCATTTCCTTTTCTCAAGTAGTAGGGGAAGGCAGAAATCTTGGGTTCTTGCCCCCCCCCATATTCCTGGCATCACTGACCTGGAAACAAAGAAGACCTGAGTTGAAGTGTGGCCTCTGTCACATACTGGCTATGTGATCCTGGGCAAATCACTTAACCTCTTAGTGTTCTAGGCAATTGAAACTCTGAGTTGCACAGAAGATGATGACCTTGTGTCCATAGGGGAATTCCCTCACCTCACCTGAGAGTTCCCTATACCAATGAAATCACCAGAATGGTCCCTATCCCTAAAAGACCTTCTGTCTTTGTCCTCAACATTACTGGCAGGATCTGTGATTTTGGTGCCCTCACTCCCCCCTCCCCCACTCCTCCCCTGTTCTCCTGCAGTGCAGCTCTCAGCTCTGCTAGTCCTGACTTGCACATAGAGATGAAGCTTATGTGTTAGAGTTATATTGGGACCTAGGCATTCTCAACACCCTGCCCAGAGCTCTGTGCCTCCATTTAACCAATTGTACTGGAGTGACTCAGAAGAGAGACTCCTCTCCTTGTCATGTGAAGAACGATTGGACATTGCCTCAGTCAAACTGACACTTATTGAAGACTTTAGCTTAAAAAGACCACGGTCCCCCACTGCATCTGGGGCCATTTCCAGTCGTCCTGTTCTATATCTGGACCCAGATGGCTCCGAAGGAGAAAGTGAGGCTGGTAACTTTGCACAACCCCCCTCACTTAAATCCAATTCACTCGAATGTCATAGCATCACTTCCCTGATGTCATGGTCCTTTTTGAGAATGAAGGACAAATAACTATAACCTCCCCTCAAATTTTATGTACGTGTGAGTATACATGTAATCTGCTCTGAAGCTTTTTCTTCAAGTCCAAAAAGTAAAAGGTTGAACAGCTAGGTGTCAGTGACCTATCACCTTACTGGATCAATCAGAAATGGGACTTATTTCTATTATCCTGTACATGTAAATTTACACTAACTTCTCAAGTTTACCATCCAATCTATCTTATAGGAAAAGAATGAGGATAAAATGAGATCATGTCTGTAAAAACATTTTGGAAAGGTAAAAAAAAACTTGATGAATATAATATAGTAGTATTATATACTACTTCTACAACTACTGAGAAGAGAGGAGTCAATACATTTTTTTTTTCAGTGTGCATGCTATTCCTGGTAACACAAACAAAACTTTGTATATGATAGTATGGTGATTTAGAACATGTATTTTCCATTTTCTAGGTGAATCATGTCTCTTTTAAATATCTATTCAATTAAAAACCCTGGGAATTAAAGGTTTCTGCTATATTTTTACTTCTGGAAACACTGAGATAGACAGAGTCTCTATGACTGAGAGGAGAGGTGAGGCGAGAATTCAGAGCCATTCTGCTTCCGGTATTCATGTTGCATCTACTAAGCCATGCTGCCTCCTTCAGGCAATGAGTAACCCAGGCTAGGTATTAGATCATAGGATCATAGATCTATAGCTGAGAGAAACCTCTGAGGAAATCTAGTCCAAAATAAGTGTTTTACAGTTGGGGAATCTAAGACCTAAAAAGATGAAATGATTTGTCCAAGATCACACCGGTAGTAAGCATCAGAAGTCTTGGAAAATGGCATCTACACTGAGCTAACTGCATTGATCTGCTTGATTAGAGTTGGGTAAGTGTATTCTAAACTTCACTGGTTCTATGTGATTTGGATTTGAGGTATGAGGACATTTTTAAAATCAGCTGGTGTGTCACAGAGTGGTTTTCAGCCTCTTCACTCCTAGAAAAGCAAAAGTTTTATTTTATTTTTTAATTATCTTTTTCTTGATTTTTAGACAATAGTAATATTTTATTTTTCCCAATTGCATGTAAAAACAATTTTTAACATTTGTTTTTTAAAATTCTGAATTCCAAATTCTCTCCCTTCCTTCTTCTCTTCTCCCTTACCGAGACAGTAAGCAATTTGATATAGGTTATACATGTGTAGTCATGAAAAACATATTTCCATGTTAGGTAGTGAAAGAAAATACAGACCAAAAAAATTAAAAAGTGAAAAATAATACGCTTCAATGTGCATTCAGACTCTATTAGTTCTTTCTCTGCAGGAAAATTGCATTTTTCATGAGTTCTTTGGGATTGTCTTGGAACATTGTATTGGTGAGAATACCTAAGTTGTTCACAGTTGATCATCATACAATATTGGAAATATAAACTTTTTAAAAAGCAAACATGCGATCCTCAAAGGACACAAAAACAAAAACTTCTCAGTTCTGCTGCTTTGATTTCCATTGTGTTTGAAGCTCACCGTTGCCTACAGGTGTCACCAGAAGCAGGCAAGTCAAAAGGGGTTGAGCTCTCAGGGAAGTATTATCTCCAAATGGAAATCAAATCACTGGGAAAGTGAACAGGAAAAATATAAGGGATTTGGATTGCAAATGCTTATTCCATGGGAAAGAGCTTTGTGTCAAGAAACCCAGACAATGAAACCAAAATGCAGAATGGAAAAGGTTAGAAAAAACTCACTTTATAAAAAATTTTTAAAAGGAAAAGAAAATGTTTTAACAATGTTTTAAAAAATAGTCAGATAGTTTATTGGTCCAACCATGTGATGAGTGAGCAAAGATAGATTTATTGTGTTCAGACAACTTTTTCAAGCTAAATATAGGTCAAATCTTGCTACAACAAATTTTAAGGAGTTTCCCAGCTTTATTTTTTGTCCCGGAGTCTTATTGTCTCAAAAGTTATTCAACTTGTGGCTGTCAGCCCGAACTTAGTTATTATTTGTTAGTTTGGCATTTGACCTATAAGTCAAAGTTACTGAATTAAGAATTCAGGAGTTCACTATCTCAGTATTACGAATACTGAAGCTAAAATTTGGATGATCTAATAATGTAATTGTCCCTTTTTAAAAAATTGAATTGACGCCTTTTGTTTTTGTGTCACTTTCATTGTTCATCACCCATTGAGCCTCACCTTAGAACAAAGAATTTAAAATTAAAAGCAAAAAAAAAAATCCATCAGAATCAATCAACCAACATATTAACTAGATCTGGTAGTAAAAGCAATATTTCACACTCATAGCCCCTACCTCTGCAATGTAGGGAGAGAAATACATTTCCTCAAGTACTCTAACCAGCCAAGTTTGAGTGTTATAATTTTGCACAGTTCAATTTCATTTTATTATTCATTGACATTGTTTGTAGTCATTTTATGCATTGCTTTCCTGGTTCTTCTTGCTTAACTTTGCATCAGTTTATATAAGTTGTCCACTGTTTCTACAGATTTTCATATTCATCATTTGCATATACCATGATTTGATTAGCCATCTCTCAATCAGTGGATGCCTACTTTGTTTCTAGTTCTTTATCAGAATGTCTTTCTGATAAAGCTTTTTGTCTTGCTTGGTTTTCAAAGAAATTAGCTTATTTTCTTTCTTTCAGCATTTATTAAGCATGTACTAGGTGCAGGGTATAGTGCTCGGCACTAGAGATACAAAGACACAAATGAAACAGTCCCTACTCCCTAGCAGCTTGCATTCCAGTGAGAGATACAGCATAACAGTGCATCCCATAAGTTTCAATGCAATTTGAAGCTACTAAAATTTAAAACTGGGGCAGCTGGCATAGTGGATAGAGATCTGACCTTGAAGTCAGGAGGACCTGAATTCAAATCAGCCTCAGACACGTGACACTTACTAGCTGTGTAACCCTGGGCAAGTCACTTAACCCCAACTGCCTCACCAAAAAAAAAAAAAAAAAATTAAAACTGCAGCAAGACTTTTGGGGAAGGAGGGGGGAAAGAATCTCCCTTTCTTGAAGGCAAGAAGTACAGAGGCTACTTACCAATAAGACCCCGCTGCTGATAGGCACAGAAGTTTTGACTTGCTCTGTTTCCAATCTGGGCTGGTTTGACCTCTTTGGGGAGGCTAGTTGAACCTTCGTTCATTAGGGGACCGGCACTAGCATTCCCAGTTCCATTTAATCACTTAAAGTCAACTACCTTTTAGAAAGATATTTGTTTCAAAGATGAAACAAGAACAAAGTATAAACATTTTCCCCATTACCTCAAGGGCATACTCTCCCCTATACCACCTCGGTCTCTGGGGAAGTAAGCTCAAAATTTAGCTCATATCATGGTCCTACTAAACCAATATCCAGATGTGACAAAACTTCCAGATGAATCCTTCCGTGTGGCTGGATCCCTAATTTTGAAGATTGTTCCTTGATCCTTGCAGCACAGATGCTGGACTGACTGTAATACTCAACCTGGATTACAACTTTTAGATTCCTATGGCTTATACTTCCAACCAAAGTTGGAGACTCCACTCCATAAACCTAGTACAGAAAAGAACAAATAGAAAGGCCAAAGACTCGGGCCTATTTCTTGGGAGCTGGAGGGCTTCAGAGGGAGGGGGGATAAAGGCCCTGAGAAAAGCCAACTAAGCAAACTGATGGAGTCTACATATGCCCAAGACCCCCATCCCCCCACTGTTTCAAAAGCATAGGATGCCATTCTTGTTTTTTTTTCTTATAATTGTTAACCTACCAGTTTTTCTCCTTCATTATCTTCCCAATGGTTAAATCTGGCCTCAAATTCTGGTTTTGAGTTAAATACGTTTATCTTGGCTCTGTGAACTGACTTTACTAAATAGAAATTTGAAGCATGGAGGAGGAAGTTAAGATTAGAATCTAAGGATTACAAGTTAAGATTTTTTATTCCTAAAAACTATGTCTTTAATAACAAATACCTCTTAGTAGCAAAAAAGGGCATGAAATGTGCAATAACAGTCTTCTATAGTGGAAAGAACACTGAATGTAGAGTCAAAGGACTCGGGTTCAAGGCTTGGATTTGCCTCTTATTCTCTGTGTAACTTTGACCTTAGAGGTCATGAAATCCAACCCTTTCATTTTACAGAGAAGGAGAATGAAGCCCACAGAATTTAAATAACCTGGTCAAAGTCATACATGTAGTGTGTTAGCTATTATTATTATTATTACCTCTGAAGCTACCATTTGGTATTTCTATATCAAGCTACCACTGCCACCTGTTGAAGGTACCATCTGTTTCTTCTTTCTTAGGGAGTATTACTGTTTTTTAGTGTCAGGTTAACATGCCTCAGGATTAATCGCACATTCTCAGCTCTTCTGCTAGTCAGGCCTAAACCCCACTCAGCTGGCAGACAAAGGATTATTCTGAGAGCTGTCAGGACCTTGTTTGCTTATTCATCTTCCTCCATGGAAAGGTCCCCCATCTCTACTCCTACCCAGATAAGGATATGGGGCTTTCCTGACATAGAATGCAAGCTGTGTATCTCCTTCCATTAGAGTCTATACCTTTTGCTGAGTTTCTAGGGTTAAACACAAAGTATTACTTTTCATGTTCCATTTTAATTCCTGTCATGCCCCTGGCATCTAGTCTAGGTCATGCGATTTGTCTTTAGTAAACATCAAAGAGGCACTTAATAACATTGGAGGAGGAGAGCCAGAGCTAGTGACCTTTGCCCTGTATTGCTGCTACCTCATTATTATTGTATATGGCTTCTGATTATTTTTTTTCTGTTTGTCCCTTTCCCTCAATAGGAAAAAAGTGTTCCACTGCTAAAATAAGACTACCCCCTCCAATTCTTACCTTTCTTCTCACCCTCTCTCAATGGTGGAAAAAGAATCTTGGTTACTGAAGACTAAACTGGTACGGGATATTCATGAATCCAGGTAACCTTAAATATTTCTAAAACATTTAAATTTCTTCTTGAGCTTTGTAAAAAACCAAAACAAAACCGAATTCTCACCAAACAAAACAAAATAAAATAGGAAAACAGAAAAACAAAGCTGATGTTATATATTTAGTTAGTTTGAAATTGTGTATTTAACAAATGGTGAGGTACACGTTAACCTTTTCTTGGGCATCTGCCAGTGAATTTCACTGATGCTGGTAGTTATTGTATATAGTTTTATCTCGGACTTTTCAACTTTAGTCATAAACATGTTTTAGGGCTTTGGGACCTACTTTGTAAATGCTTGATGAGATCAAGGGAAGGGTTGTGTGTTTCAATCAAAAATCCTCCCAATAAGCCTCACTGTGGCAGAATAGTTCTGAAAAGGATCATTGATCAGGTCATGGGATCATGGAAACACAGATTTAGAACTAGCAAGCTATTACTGCCAAGACCTGAGGTTATGCAGAGATGATTGGGTTGTGCTGTTGACCAATTGCTTACCTTTAAAGAAAAAAAGTAAAGTAGGTAGGTAGGAAATGGTATTGTCAGATTTCTGAAGGAAAGATTAAATAAGCGAAATGCTTTAAAACAAAATCATAGGGAAAAACATTATTGAGCCAGCCTCCCAGTGGCAGGAATGGTTCTATTTGGAAATAAGGAGGCCAAGACAGTTGATCTGGAAAAATGCAGTAGAGAGAAGTAGAGGACTTCCATAGCTATCCTGCAAACTTTGAGATACTCTTTTTAGTAATCAATTACGTCTTTAGTACAGGCCAATGAATGAATGAATGAATAAATTTTGAAAAGAATTTATTTTTTATTTATTTATTTTTAGTTTTCAATAATCACTTTCATAAGATTTGAGTTTTAAATTTTTCTCCCCCTCCCTTCCTTCTCCTCCCCAAGACAGCGTGCAATCTGATATAGGCTTTACACATACATTCCTATTTAACATTTTTCACATTAGTCATGTCATAAGGAAGAATTAGAACCAATAGGAGGAATCATAAGAAAGAGGAAATGAAATAAAATAGAAGAGGAAAAAAAAGAGCAAATAGTACTTTTCGATCTGCATTCTAACTCCATAGTTCTTTCTTTGGTTGTGGATAGCATTTTCTATCATGAGACTTTTGGAGATGTCTTAGATCCTTGCATTGCTGAGAAGTTAGTTAGTTAGTCATCTCACAACGTGGTTGTTACTGTGTACAACGTTCTCCTGGTTCTGTTCACTTCACTCAGCATCAGTCCATACGAGTCTTTCCAGGCTTTTCTGATCATCATTTCTTATAGCACAATAGTATTCCATTACATTCATATACCACAACTTGTTCAGCCATTCCCCAATTGATAGACATACCCTCAATTTCTAATTCTTTGCCACCACAGAAAGGGCTACTATAAATATTTTTGTACATGTGGGTCCTTGAAAAGAATTTATTAAGCGCTCATTTCGTGCCAAGCATTGTGTTAAGCACAGAAGATACAGATACACAAATATTGTAGCCTTGACCTAAAGACACTTACATTCTAATAATAGTCATAGAAAAAACAGCATTTATAAAATGCTTCACAAATATGATCTCATTTGATCCTTACAGCCATCCTACGAGGTAGGTGCTATTTTTACCCCCATTTTATATTTGAGGAAACCAAAGCAGAAATCAAGTGACTTGCCCAGGGTCTTGGAGCTAGTGTCTGAGGCTGAATTTGAACTTGGGTCTTCCTGAAGCTAGACTTCAGGGTCTGGACTTCAGGTCTAGCATTCTATCCACTGCACCATCTTTGCTCATAGGATCATAGGTTTATTTAGAGCTGGATGGGACTGAAGTCAGGCTTTCTCCTTTTACAGATGAGGAAAGTGAAACCTAGAGAGGTTTAAAAAAAAAGACTTCCCCAAGATCATACAGCTAATAAGCTGCGATGCGAACCCAGATCCTCTAACTCCAAATGAATCACGCGTTGTACTATACTATGCTGCTTTGCCAGAATGGGAGCAAAATGTCTCATGAGATGAAGAAGCAATTCCACACTGCATTCCACTAGGGGGCACTATTCTCTGCATCCAGGATTCCTTTCCTAGAAAATAAGGACAATGCTATGCTGACCTAATGTCTCAATTTATCCCTTCCCTACAGTCGGTTCCCTTTCCGATATAGCCTGCATGCAGTTGCCAGCTTAATCTTTCTTACAGAACTTTTCCTCATAACATTCCTCTACTCAAAAATTTGATCCAAGTCAACAAACATGCCTACATTGTGTAAGGTACTAGATGGCTATGCTGTCGCCGTATTCCTGACCTCAGTGGGAAGACAGATGGGTCTGGAAGGGTCTGGGGGGTGAAATGAGTTGATGTTCTATGGTCCTCCCACTTTCCTGCTTTCTTGATCTTTCTTGTTGCTACCTGACCCCTTTACACCAGAACTCAGGCCATTATGTTCTGACCAGGATCCCTTCATTGTAGTGAAGCTATCCTCCACCTGCATTGGGGTATCAGCCTATGACTGGAAGGGAGGCAGAATAGACATCTCTAGATCCTTCTCCCTCACTCTTCTCCAAGGAAAACTTTAAATTCCTGCCAGGAGGGGAAGCAGGAAGCTGGAGCCAGAAGCTTGACCGTTCTGCCCTTCTCAGAGAGAGAGGGGGTACCAAGCAGCATTTTGTCTGTTCCCATGAAATATTTTTAGTCTAGGGGATGTAGCGTTCAGATGCAAGCTAGACTTCTGATTGCTAATCATTAATAGGGAAAAGAAGTCCCTAAGCTCTATATCCAAGGTTTTTCCCTTTCCAACCAAATACCAGTTCCACAATGAACATACATATAATCAATAACAAACAAACACTATTTATCCAAGTTAATAATAAAGCAGGAATCACAGAAAGTATACATAGGAGAATGTATACTAATAGAAAATATAGAGTGAAGGAGCTCTTCCTTTGGGAGTTGGGAGGAAATTCAGCTCAACCAAGAAAGAGTCTGTAGTGTAGCAAGCTGGGGACAGGGACATGTGTTAGCTCCTCTCAAGTCAGCTTATTCTCAGAGACTTTTCCTTCAGCAATCTGAAGTGGGGCTGGCATCATCCATATTCTCTTCAAATCTGGAAGCCAGAAGTGTTCCCTAAGTGACTGTAGGGCTTGCAGGACCTAAAGAGATTCAAAAGAGTGAGGGAAGTCCTAGAGAGCCTAGAGTTCTCCTCTCTCCTTCTCTTTAGGTGTTGAACATTGATCTCCACCAATGAAGAGAGTTCCATACCAGTGGACTTTGGGTTGTATTGTGTATTCCTGAATCTGACCTCTGCATTGCTCTCCGATTTTCAACAGCATGTCATCATGTTTGGATGAAGCCCAAACTGGCTACCTCTCTCTAGGCTCCTTTCTTTACTTTTCACTTATGGTTTTCAGACATTTCTTCCACTAGTGAAGAATACAACCCCTCCATACTTTATAGGCTTTAGAGATCATCAAGTCCAACCTTCTCAAGTACAGATGAGAAAGAAGCCCCAGACAAAAGGGAATACTTTGCCCAGTCACACAAGACACCAAATCCATTGCCCTTGCAATAATAGCTGTCTTCTCTTCCTGTCACACCCTTGTCCACCCACCTTCCATCAATCCTCTCTAGGAACTTCCCAATGTATTTTTTTTTGAGCCAATGGGATTAAGTAACTTGCCCAGGGTCACACAGCTAGCAACTGTCTGAGGCCAGATTTGAACTCAGGTCCTCCTGACTCCAGGACCAGTGCTTTATCTACTGTGCCACACCCAATGTCCTTTTAAAAATCCTTCTTGTTGTATTTGTTCATTTTTGTTATTACCATTGTTTTGCCATTTCAACATTTAAGCTGTTATTTGTCTCCATACATAAGTGACTCATCTTTTCCAGGTCATATGTGTCCTTGATGGTTTCTTTCGTGAAATTTCTTACACATAAATCATTACTGGTAACATGCTAAATCCCACTACAGATTCTATGAATCTTTTTATCACCCTTTGGGTCATATGCAATTTTGCAATTTTGATTCATGATTCAAACACATATAGCGTCGCTGGAGGAATATTGGCATTAAAAAGATGGCATTTTGCAGCAAGGGGCTACTTAGGATCATTGAAAAGAATGTGCAAACAATCTAACTAATCTTTCTCCTATTCAATTCTGAACCCTGCTTATTGTCTATTTGTACTGCCTAAGTTACATGTACAAATGGACTGGCTCAGTAGGCTGCCTTCCCAACTAAATGCCTTAATCTGGACAATGTACAAATTTTCATCCACTTTATGTTTTCAGTGTGGATTGCTAGATCAATCTCTTTTGAATGGCTATTGATTTCACAGAGAAGATTTTTGTAGTGTTCCTAGTTAGGATCAATATAATTAGTTGTATCATCTGTGAACAGTACTGGGAGAGTCTAATTATGAATACAGAATCTTTGTATTTGTGAGGAAGAGACCACAAATCTATCCTTTTCAGTATCTAGCTTCTTCCACTGAGAGAACTGATGCTGTTCCCCAGGTAGTTTGAAGAGTATACCCTGGCTACACCAAGAGAAAAAGAACAATTAGGGAGGGAGAAATGATGTACCCCTACATTCTAGTGGGAGGTTTTGATGCAAGTGAGAGACATACTATCTGAGTACTGGGGAAGAGCAGAAGCAAATGATACCATCTCATGATAAGCCTGCAGGGAGATTAAAATAGAAATTCACTGAAGCTATGTAAGAAAAAGAGGTTTCCAGAGGTTCTCCACCCTCAAGAAACCTACTATATGAAATTTAGAATTGCTTTGGAGAAACTAAAGAAGGCTTAAGAATTAAAAAAAAACACTCAGAGATTTTTCTCTATGTGCCAGATTAGACAGCTAGTCCCTTGGGCTAGTGGATGAATGCCACCTGTTAGATAAGACTAATCTGCAGACATCAATGGAACAAATGAAATCAGGGACTATGAGAATCAGTGGGAGAAAGCAGTGAAAGAATTGCAACTTGCTGAAAGTGGAGAAAG